ATAGTGACCCTCGTGCGACATTAACGCAAACAGGTTCCCTGAGGGTGCGCCTGCGCAGTGCGTGTATTGCCACTACTGAGTCGCTGCCCTCGCCCCTGCATAGGGCAAAGAGGCCTTTCACCTGGTGATACTGCCGTGTCCTCGCCTGCACGCATGCGTATGGCGAATTGGCCTTGATCGTCGGTGTGCTCTGATTAGGGTTCCCACAGTGCCCCGGCGGAACCCCGAGGGAACTGCATGTGTTGAGTGCAGAGAAACGGGCCCGGGGCCTCGGGAGAAGTCGGACCTGGACGTTACCGGCCCTCCCTCCCCACTCCACCTGCTGCCTCTCCACCGTCTGCAGCCACCGTTCTCTGAAGGGAGTTCATCTTGGCCATCAGGACCCGCCTCGGGGGAGCACAGATGTCTCTTCTGTTGCTTTCCCTGTAAAGGGAATGACCAGTCCTTACAGCTGTGCCCGAGGTAGAAGGCGAAACACATAAGGCGAGCTGGCTGTCCGGGCTTATTTAATCGCCCTCCGTCTCCTAATTAAGCGTGGACTGTGGGATGCAGGAGCACCAGGCGCAGGCATTACCGAGCAGGTGTTCGAACGGCGCCGGTAAGCACTTCTGTGACGGTCTAATCGGTGTCCTAATCCATCCTGCAGAGCAGTCATCATTTCTTCTTCATTAGCTGCAGATGCATTGTGTAACGCAGCTTATAAAGGTGTTCCTACCAGCTTTCACGAAGTGTGAGCACCCCCAAGGAGGAAATGCCTCGAATGTGTCTTTCAAACACGCCAATAAGGTGGGTTTTTTTTAAATAAAAAGACAGCTTGTAATCAAGGCTTAACACTTATTTGTATAGGATAGAGTCGACTTGTAAATATTTATATTTGCGCAAATTCTTTACTTGGAGTTGCAGGACAGTAAGTCCGTAGTTAGAAGGATGAGTCATAATTAGTGTCATTTCTGTGTCAGGAAGCTACTTAGAAATTAAAATGAGTGGCCCATTCTCCCCACCAGCCCCACCACCGTGTTGGGTAAAAACTCCGCCCTAATTACCTCCCCACAAGCACATGTAGGCCTCTTCGTGTATTCTGTCCAGCTTAATGGAGATGCAATTGACATGTGACACGGTGCAAAGGTTTAGATGTAACCTTAAGGTGTAAGGTTAACAGGTAACGACGGGATGATCTGGTCAGTGAATCCATTGCGTACAGATCCCACAATAAGCTGAGCTAACACCTTCACATAATTCCCATGTTTGGGGGAGTGATAACATTTAATCTGGAAATGATGCACTTGTTATAGTACAGTGATACTATAATCACACGTTCAGCCTTAAATATCTTTGAGTGGTGCCCGGTCAGTGTGGCTCAGTGGTTGAGTGGTGACCTATGAACCAGGAGGTCAGGGTTCAATCCCTGGTCAGGGCACATGCCTGGGTTGTGGG